GAAGCTGAGTTGATCTTCCAAAACCCAGTTTGACACACCTTTTGTTCTGGAATATGTTTGGGTCCTCCCAGAATTTCACAGCTCTGGTTTTCTCTTCCTGTTGGCCTCCAGAAGTGTGTGAAGACCCTGTTCCACTGTTCTTGCCTTATGGGTTGGGAGTTGCCCAAGACAGCTTTTAGCCGGAAGCCCTGGGACAACAGGCAGCAGGCAGTGGGCAAAATCTGCAAGTACCTGGTGAGTGGTTCCTTCTGAGTATATTGAGGCAGGGTCCCTCCCTCCCCTTTCCTGCTTTTCACATCAGTATCCTGACGCAGTTTCCACTCCACAGTGGACACCTCTGATGGCCCACAGGCACTTCAAGCTGGTGTGTCCCTTTTGAACATACGGCCTTCCCTTTCACTTGTGCTCTGTCCCTCTGGGTCCTGAAGGCAGAAACCTAGAATCATCCTGGACTCCTTTTTCTCCTCACCTTCCACATCTGAGCAATCCTAAAAATCCTAAGGATCTCTGGATCTGTTTCTCCATCCCCATCCCCACTGTCTTTGCCCTTCGGTCAGGCCATGGATGTGTCTCAGGCGAGCCACGGGTCCAGCCAGCCAATGGGTCTCCAGCCTTTAATTTCATCCTCTGCAACCCATTCCTCATCCAGACCACCAAGGTGGTCTTCTAAAAACACTGTGAATGGTGCTAAGGATGGAACCAGGACCTCGCACATGCGAGGCATGTGCTCCACGGCTAGTCACATCCCTGGGACGCAGCCAGTCTACGGTATATCCCTGCATAAAGGGCCACGCTGGCTCCCTTGTCTGCAACAGCAATTGCCAGGATATGTTCCCTGGAAGGCGAGGCTCAACAGCTCATGGGAGGGCACACAAAGGACAAACAAGCATGGGAAAGGTGGCATGCTCACCTTCCTCCTGCTGATTTGCAGTGGTATCGGCACAGTAAGGGCTCTGCTGAGAAAGTGTGCTTGTGGTTATTGAATTCATGGTTTCCTCGACTCAGTTAACCACAGAAACACTTTCTAGGTGACACCTGTGAACAGCCTGAGGCTGGAGCAAGCCACACACACACACACACACGCACACACACACACACACACACACAGAGTGAAGTATGGCACCGTGGCAGACAGAGCATGCAGCAAGTTTTGCCATCTGGCCCCACTTTCCTTTCCCTGTTGTCAACGGCCAGATGGGATTAGCGAGGAAGGTTTGGAGGGAGCTCCAATGGCATCACTACCTGTGGAAGGGGACAGGTGGGGAGAATTGGGGCTATTGTGTCATTTCAGGCAGTCTCAGCCAACCTGCCAGGAGAATCCCAAACTGAGGCCAGGGGTCAGGCCATTATTGTTTGTGTTTGTTTGTTCTTTTGGGACAAGGTCTTACTGTGTTGGCCAGGCTGGCCCTGAACTCCTGGACTGAAGTCGCTGGTACTAGAGGAACCTGCCGTGATACATGGATGGGTCAGGTCTTTACACTCTGGGCTCACCTGTCACTAGCTGCCAGCCATCCTGGGAAGAGACATGGCCAGGAGTCAGGCAGTTCTGGCCAGTCCAGCAATCTCCATAGCTGGGGGAAGAAATCCTTCCCACCTGAAGGGAGACCCAAAGGTGGGCATCTATCACCCCACCTGGACCCAAAATAAATATAGAAAGGAGCAGGCTGTTAGAGAACTGAGAAATGGGCTTGGCCATGCTGCTGTCAGCCATGCTTGAAGTCTTGATTGAGTGCCTAAAACTACTGTCTGTGCTTCACAGAGGGCAAAAGAGGCTTGGAGGGGCTGTTTGGCCAGGGTTGCTAGTTTTCATATTGATAATGGCTGGTGACCAGGCAGTGGTCTAATGACATGGCTTATTGGGCCTGTGAGCTGGGCGTGACTGTAGCCCCACGGCAGGCAGGAGTAGAGAGCTCCACTCATCATGCAGGTCCTTCTTGATAGGCCCTCCAGTTTCACAAGAAAAGTGTAGCTATTAGCTCTCCACTGCTAAAGCAAAATCCCCAACATCCACAATTTAAAGGAGGAAAGATTTCATCTGGCTTAGTTTTAGAAGTTTCAGTCCATGCTTGGCTGGCTATATTGCTTTTCAGATGGTGAGGCAGAAACATCATGGTGGATAGCTGGGCGTGGTGGTGGCACATGCCTATGATCCCAGCACTTGGGAGGCTGAGGCAGGAGGATCACTGTGAATTCAAAGCCAG